CCTTTCCTCTAGTCTTACACTGCTAAATTAGAGACGGCTAGCGCAGATAGCCCTCGTGTAGTTTTGCGCGAAATTCGTAACAAACCAAACAATAAAATATTCCGCGATTATATTATGATTTTAAATCAATAAAGTATAATAATTGCGATTTAGAGCTTTATTTTTTAGAGATAGCTCGTTGTTGTTTTATCCCCTCATTTATTTTCGCTGTACTTCTTGTGAAGTTCGTTCATATAACATTCAGTGTTGGTTAGGGGGATGGACAACGCTTGGTATTGACTAATAACATAGTAACACTGGCAACGTAGTGGCCACTTGTCCCCGACTTTGTACATTGCTCGAAGCGAAACGACATTTCATTACGGCAGTTTGTACTGGGCACGTGTTGGAAACATGGCTAAGACAAAAGGAAATTTCCCCAGTCCTTTCATTTTATCGGGATTTACAGTTACACCTATGTTAGAAAACACATGGCTATGTTGGTTATTCTGATATTTTTTTATATAAAGTTACATAGTTAAACCTCACAAATAATATTAAAGCATGAGGGAATCCTCAGTAGCCGCGGCACTTGAAATTCTTGACGAAGCTATGAGCTAAAAGTTTGTACTTGAAAAAAAAAAAAACAATTCGGAGCCGTTCTATGAGCCGCTGTGTTGCGGCTAAAATACATTACGAGAATTTTTTTTAAGTGCTTTCAATATTCTGCAGTTATTTTATTATATCATTACGAATAATAATTTTATTTAAAAAATAATAATCATGTAAAATAGCAACCTTTCGACCCGTTTCAAAGGTGGCTAGTTTTATGACGTCAGCTGAGATTTTTCCTAAAACTTACTTATTTACTACGTAGATATTTGTAATTGTCTCCTGGAGCTTTCCTTTGGTTGTTAGGCGAGAAGCACGAGACCCCTGTTGTTATGGCAGTCACTTGTCAGGTTTTACAGTGATTTGAAATCAGACAGAAACGCTTTTGCTGTAGGACCACTTATTTTTCAGTTTACAGTGAAGATGTAAAACGTGTCGTAAATTGCGACGTATAATGAACCATGAATGTAAAGTTTAGATTTTCTTACACATACAAACTATTTATGTATAAAGATTTTACAATGTTTTATGTTTTTTATCGTCAGTTCACAAATGTTGAAACTATTTTCCAAATATTGTCACTGTTGAAATCCTCGCATACTATATATACTAAAGTTTCAGTTTTTATAAACTGAATTTACACATTTCATGAAATACAGATGAGTGCTTTGTTTTTCAGTTCATAGAATGTTTACTGTATTATACAAGTTTTATTAGTACGAAGATTAGTAAGAAACCCGGTAAGTGGTTTTATAAAACACTATTATGTAGTTATGAATATTCCTGCATTTTAAAGTCATAGTTGTCAATAAGTTTTAGGGTTTTCGTCATATTTTATGTAATTATTTGTTATTTTCAAGTTTTGTTAGACCTCGAGAAGTGATGTTTTATAGATTTCTTGGCCGATTGATTCTTTTTTTTTTCCTGTTTATCCATGATATTGTTGGTGTCCAGTGGTTCATTACTAATTATACAATGTAGCTGCAACTTGCTTCAGGTTACTTGATCTGTCGGTGTGAAGAATGGGACATTTCCAATTAGAACTCAGTTGTAGGGGTGATAGTATTCCCATAATGTGCAAAATGAAACCGATATACAGATCGCGCTGATCTCACTATGCAGACAAAGTTGTCATTTTTACAAACGTAATTATGTATACAATATAACAAAATTGGTAATTTTTATTGCACGAGAACTCTAAATGTTATGAGTGACACGTATGAACACTGCTAAGAAGGAACTATTAGAGAACACTTTGTTTTTATTGTCGTAACGTAACAAACTGTTGCATGATGGCTTACCAGGCAATAATACCTTTCACGCGCAATGTATTTTAGGCTAACTTTCTTCACTTGAAGCGTTTTGAATATAGATTAGAAGGTCCACCTCAAAATATTGGATTATTCGATGGCCTAAACTTGAGAAAATAAGTCGGGTTTTCTGTTTTTACTTTATGTAATGTTTAATTTGCACGTGAGGTATATCTATCATAAAGAACGATACAAACAATAAAGACACATCTATAAAACAACCGAACTTGTATAAATTCACAGAATTTATGCTTCAGATAATACATGTCATATTGTCATGAAATCAAGAATATTAAATATTACTGAACAATTCTCTGAAGTGTACTAATAAATGTGACGATTAGCAATCTATCTGTGCTGTTTATTAGCAGCTATCTATTTTTACTGGTACTAGTTTTATGCGGGTAGTAATTTCCGCCTTTACACTGGACCATCCACTACTGACAATATAACATTCATGCGTTGATGCCATCTATTGGTGTAAATCAGTAATAGTTAGCTCTGAAGAAAAACCTTAAGATATTTTAATTTGTCTGTCATGAGAATGAAAGGTTAAGTGTGATCTAATACTAATAGAAGTATTCACAATTATGAAAGGAATTCATCAGATCGATGTATTAGACTTTTTTTTTTGTTAAACTCTTAGGGCAGTAGGATAAGGGGATATAAATTTGGAAAAGTTGAACACATCTCCATTTGAGCCAGTTTTTTTATTTTGCCAATAGGGTGTTAAGTCTGGAACAAATTGCCAGCCTAAGGGTTGAGTGTCTGTGAATATTTAAGTATCAGGCTGAAATTAGTGATTAGTTTTCTGTTTGTTGATGGACTAAAGAGTTAGGATATATTGATGAGTGGAGGGGGCCCGTTGTTATCCCCAAATTACACAGAATCTCTGTGGGCATTTTATCCAAGTTCATGCTTTTCTTCATAGTTCAAATTTCATTCTAGTTTATTTCGTTACTCGTTTTCAACATGTTAATATTCTTTTTATAGTAACAGTACCACATCTTAATTCAGCAGACAAAATAAAAGGCTTCACCAGTCTTGTAAAAACCTACTTTCAATAATTCAAACTGTAAGTAAATTAGAGAACTCTTATTGCTTTTATTTCCAATTAAATCCCCAGTCAAAGATTTAAGTGTGATATTTTTCACTTAAATCTTCATATTTCCTCACAATACAAATGTTTTTCTTAGTCAAGAACCAGTTTGTTTTCCTCAGTTGACCATTTCCAAAGCGCATTACATTATACTTATTAAGACTGAAACATATTTTCAACTTTTCAGACCAATCACAATCCATGACTTTCTGGGTATGAGGGAATATTGTCAAAATTATCAGTTTACAAACCATTTTAGTGATAATAAGCACTTGTTTAGTTACTGCCCAAATTGTATTTTTTTTTTAAGTTTATTTTCATTAAAATATCTTTGAGGGCCCCAGTAGTGGCATTCTACAAATCAAATGTTATACCACCATCAAATTTGTCTACTGTTTTATTGTTTTTGTTAAATATATAAATATATATACTAGACCACCGTGACCCGTTGGGTCAACCACTATTCAGAGGTTATTTTTTGACTGAGAAAATAAGCAAGCAAACAAACAATCTCAGAGTTTTAGTAGTATATATAGATAGATTCTTCAAGATCTTGTTTTTGTCACCTTACGCCTTTTAATGATATAATAGCCAATGCTCGGCGAGAGGTTTTCGTTTATAAAACTTTGTTGTTGTTGTTGTTCTCGACTTGCTTTTTATTTTATTACCTCGTCTCCATAGTTACTATTTGAAAATAGTCAATAATATTGTAGGTCCATTTTATTGTTTTTCTTTCTAGGCGCCGTTATAACACATTATCATCTCATTATTTAATTTCTGTTGTGCATATATTGTTGTATAGAAGTGATTCATTAGGTGGAAAACGAATAGATAGATAGATAGATAAACCGATATGTGACGCCATCTAGTGTACCTAAATTCATCTAGAAATTTTAATATAAGTGACCCGAAAAACAGGGCCAGCTCTTGTAACCCCGTGGCACGATATTAACGAAACTTATTTTATTCTGTTTCTATTCTCATTTCATTACAAATATGGCTGTATTGTGCGCAGCTTTTGCTGTATTTAATGACAGACAAGCGTACAAACAAACAATCTGAGTCTTAGTAGTATATAGATTTATTGATTGATTTAGCATATATTTACTCTTGATAACTTGGAATTCTGAGTAATGGTCTTTTAAAATTATTCTTTCTTTACAGGCACCAAGGAAATGGAGATAATTTCATTTGAGTTTCAACAGCCTTGCAGTAGCAGTAACAAGGGAAATCCAATCTCCTCCCCCAGCATAACAACCAGCACACCTTTTGCTTCTAGAATTAATGAAAGTGGTTACTTTAACGGCAGCAACAGAACTGAGAAGTCACCTAGCAGTGGGAACTTGGTCTACTTAACCCCAGGAGAAGAATTTTCTAGGAGGTGTTATTATGATCATGGAGATGATAGTGGAATATCCCTAACACCTGACGTCTCCAAGTCATTTCGAGCATGCCAGTCGCTGCTTTGTAACAGTTTTCCTTCCCCAGTCCCAAGGTATACAGAAAAAACTGGTAAGACACAATCTGGAGAACAAACTGCTATTCAACCACTGAAAAATGAAAGGGACATTGTGTCCCTCAAATGCATGTGGCAGAAGACAACAGAAATTGAACAGTATTCCTTTCATCAAGACGTCAAGGTGTACGTTCCCATAGGTGGGGCAAAAATAAAAGAAGAATGTGTGGACTTTATACATGATCTTGCAAAAAGAAATATTCATTGTGTAATCTCTCATATATTCAGGTTCTTATCTGCTAGAGAGTTGTGTTCAGTTGCATGTGTCAGCCATGCATGGAATGATGCCTGTCTTAAAGATCCTGCTGCCAATACAAGAAGAAACAATTGGTTGCAACATTTCAAAGAGAAGTTAGCAAGAAAGGGCAAGGTAATTTAACTCTTATGTTGGGTGTGAATTTTATATATATATATATATATATATATATATATATATATTATCTTGTAAGCAGGTTTATTTTTCATCCTCAAAGTTTAAAAGTAACTTGAAAGAAAACAGTTATGGCTAACAACCGTGAAAAATTATTTATGAAGTATAACACAGTGAAATAAATGGATAATATCAGTATCTCTTGAAACTGTTTGAATACCACTATACAGCATTAAACTACATCTTAACCTAACAGAGTTCTAGGACTTGGCTGGAAAAGTATTATCTTTCGGAAATCTAGTAAGTCTAATTTCTTTCATTTTACCTAGATTGAAATACATGCAAAGGCAGGTATAAATAACTTTTTATGAATAGTTACTCTGCCAGCACTGGGAGCATTTCATCATGTTTTACATCACTAAAACAAAGGTCAATCTAGCCTACAAGCTAGTAAATCTACATCTCGGCTGGGACAGTGGTCTACGGTTGTTATTCGTATTATTTTGGGACAACATGGGACCTATTTGTACATCTCCGCTGTTCCATTCTCTAGACTAACTTAAAATAATTTTTAAATAAATCTTGAAGCCAGCCCTTATCATTCATATACTTATCAAGCTTTTTCTTACTCACTTAAATATACTGCCTCCACAACATCCAAAGGCAACCCATTCCACAGGCCAACCACCCTGTTAGAAAAATGAAACTGTCTTAGCTGAAGATGACTCCTACCCTGCAAAGATTAATATCACCTAGTCCTACTATTCTCACTGTCAAATATGAAAGATATATTGTATCAACACTATCAATTCCTTTTACAATCCTAAACACTTCAATAAGATCCTTCCCTGTTTTCTCTTTAAAAAAAAAAAAAGAGATTTCAGCCTCTCTCCTCATGTGAGAACCCCTCTATCCCAGGCACCATTCTAGTAATCCTTCATGGAACTTCAAACAGTAACATTTATGTACGAGTTTAAAGATTTACCTTTAATAATAAGACACAATGGCCAAAGAAACTTACATTCTTTAAGTGTTTGGGAGTTATAACTTATTTAAGTCTTGGGTGTGATACAGAGTTAAGGTTTTTAAACTGTAAAAATGATGATGATATTATACATAAATTTTAATTAAAAATTGCTGTTTCCATAAACAATATGCCAGCAAGCGTAAAATTAATTCTAAAAATGTAAAGCAGTTTCTGACATGATTTATCAAGGTATTTCTAACATTTTTCTAATAACTTTGAACTATCATATTTATTGGTAAAGATACTGATATCAATTTATCAAGGCTTTCTTGAAGTAAGATCATAGTTTCTCATAAGGTAATTGATACAAGTTTACTTATTTTACTGTTCTAAAATTAATACTTCAGTGCTTAATATCTAAATTGGCAGTTTCTATGTTCTTGAATAAATTATGAATGTTTGCTAAGCCTGAAGTAATGAAAGGTACTAATATCTAATAAATATTACAGGAGAATGTTAAAGGCAAGTCACCCATTTCGTTAGTGGAACCTTATGTTCGTAAAGGCCCACTGAGCAGCATTCAAAATACTGCAGCTTTTTCTCCTGCTTCAAACAGTGTGGAAGTCAAATCAGAAGACTACTTCACATTGTTTCAGAGGGTAAATCAATTTAACAATGATAAATTTATTTTAATGTTAAAAAATCACAACATAGAAACCGGTAGAAAAACATTAATATCTAGAAGTAATATCAAACAGTTAAAATGCCTCGTTATTTATTGTTTTAATTTCTTACAAATATTCCTTGTAAATGATAGCTTATTCGCCCAAAAAAAGCAAGATAATCATTTCGTATCGTATTTTTGTTCACAGGAAGCAAAGAAGCTGAACTTGGGAGAAAGGTTGGCAAAGTGCCCCAAGTGTCGATCCCCATCTCGAGTCAATATCCATCAAAATAGGGCTTTCTGCACTCGACCATTATGTGCCTTTGATTTTTGTCCCCTTTGTCGATTTGCATTTCACGACTCTAACCCTTGTCCAACTTCTAACTGCTCTAGGATATCAAAAAAGGACATAATTGGAAGTAAAAAGAGTAAAAATAACTTGAAGCGTCTATGACAGAGTTCAATGCTAGTCAAATAAATCTTTCATAGAAACTTTTAAGATGGTGAAAGTAGAAAGAAAACATGGTTTTAGTCATTTACTTAACTGCCATTCCTTTTAATATGAGTTTTTGAGTTTGTGATCAAATGTGGTGCTGTAACAAAAGAAATTAGTGTAAATAGGGCTGTTCATAGCACTATATACGTGTGTGTTTGTTTACGTGTATTGTTTTGTGTAGTGCCCTTTGTTTTTTTTTTATCTATATATATTTTGAATTTGTAATATTCCAGTTTTTTCAATTACTGATTCTATTAAAACTATTTTTACAGATATGTGCGTGTATTTATTAATAGTATACGTATTACATTCCCACAAAATGGGAAAATCTCAGCCTTTATAATTTGGTGGGTGAAATTTTCATTGGCTCTACCTGTATCTGTATTGGTTTTGGATAATTGAGAATTTACTCCAGGGTTTTGGAAAATTAATGGAAAATAAACATTTTCTCCTGACAGTATTATAAACCAATGTTTTCTATAATTTTATCTTATGATTACATCGTATAATATTGTTACGTATCTGGTCGTTTGTTAATTTCCGGGGAACTTCAACGATACAAGTCCTTTCTTAAATAAAACTAGTTTATTCTTACTCAATACAACTTTGTAATACACAGAATTTCCACAGTCACTTTAACGATTCACACACTTTACTTACGGTGCCTACCGTTCGCTTGACTCAATAATCTATATCTATGCCCTTCTATTCTTTATTTGCCGGGCTTATATACTAAAAAAGAGGGCGTTCTGAACAAACTAGAGTTGCCAGGAAAATTCATGATCCTTCCAGAAACTCCAGCGCGCATGCTCCAAGCGTCACACAACTTCTGCTGTCGTAACAATATACAATGCATGGTTTCGGAAGGACAAGTACAACGAATGGCTCGCTACAGGTGTGCCATAAAAAGTTCGATTTTTACGATGTAGGCGAATCCCGCGGCGATAAGCCACATGAAAAGGAATAAGAACGACGTTAAATGTGCATAAATTGTACTCTTCAGCAGTAGCCACGCCGACCATACACAGTTTGGTATCGTCTGAATCTAGGCAGACTCCAAATAGAACATCGACAGTTAGGCCTATGGGTGCGACAAATTAAGTCCAGCAAGTAAGTAAACAATATTCCTGTTAAATTTGATATTGAAGAGAATGGTCCGAATTTCATTGATTTCAACACAATATAGTTTAATAAAGTTGGGTTATTTTGTAGTTAGCTTTTGGAGGATTCATTTCTTTTCTACTAGGTGTCAGCACCTCATTATACAAATTATTCATTACAGAGCAGACTGGTTTTATATGATTTAGAAGGAGGTGAGTGGAAAGCTGAGGTTTTGTGGGTCCTGAAGACCATTGCTACCCAGCACAGTGATAAAAGTTGTGAAAACATAACTGTTTAAAAAGATGTTTTCAGATAGTAAAATCGCATTCCGAGTTCTCTTGTGGAGAAATGAAAATGTGGCTTCATTTGGATTGGCCCCCACATATTAAGTCAAATTTGTATTAAAGGCTTGGAAAAGATACAGACTTTGTGCTCCTGTACAACAAATCCTTAAATGGTAAAAACCAAAAGGGCCAACTTGTGGTGTACATTTGGTACTTTGACTCAGAAAAAAAAATATTATGAGGACTAGATTTCTTGATTCTGAATTTCTCGGCCACACACAGGTTAATCGTCTCTTAAGCCATTTCTTACAGCTGACAAAAGAGCTTAATCTTGATCATTTTTTTGCAAATAGGGATGGATGGTCCAAATTCGGACCCATCTTTAATCAACACTAGATCTTATGGTCTCCACACAGTCCATGGAGCTCTTTGTACAGCTTTCAATGCCTATGCTTGGGATTTAGAAGCAATACTTAAATTAATGTACCACCTTTTCAAAGATTCTCCAGCCAGATGGGAAGACTTTGAAAAATTACTGGGTCTCGTACATATGCACTGAAGTTTTCGTCTACACTATCGTTAGAGGATGAACCGGTTGCACAAAGGGCAGCTGAAATTATTCCAAATTTCCAAACGTACATCAGAATAGTTGAAGCTAAATCAAATTCTTATGCATTACCAAAAAGTCCAATTATTAATACCATGAAATCTGCAACAAATGATATCCTTTCTGTAGCAAAATTATCATTTTTATGTTTTGATATTTGAAGAACCCTTTCCATTTCTAAAAAAATATCAGGCTGACCATCCTGTACTGGCTTTTGTCAACTGTGATCAGAAACCTTCTAGGAAGGATTGTAAGACATGATGTGCTGTCCAAAGCAGACACTGCATTTAATTTGACTTAAACAATACGGAAAATATCAAATCGGCTATGCATGTTGATATCGATTTTTTGTGCAACAGAAAATATGAAAGTATTGATTGTCACAGAGAAGACAACTCAAATAGACGAACTTGCATTTCACAAAGAGTGTTTGTTTAATTGAGAAACTGCTAATGAAGCATCCGTTGAAATACACATTTACACCTCATGTAGCCTGTTTTTCACCTCTAACAATGGCTTCAGGTGCGTTGGATTATACGGCTCATTTTCAGCATGTACTGTCCACTCCAATTCAAACATCTCAAAACAGAAGAATGTGATCGCTTAATCAGACAGTACGACTTGCTTTTATCTCGGATTGTGAAGCCAAATTCCCACATCTTCAAGAATTTTGACCTCAAAACTAATAGGCTTAACTACTTTTTGTTCATACACATGGGCCAAGCTATAGATTACTCATTTTGATATTTTCTCATGGCTAAGCAATTGTTGAAAAGCGAGCTTTTCTGTGAATGAAGAATTAATGCTTCAAAACATGAAGCATGCCCTTTGTTGATTAACAGTATATCTGTGGTTATGTGCAGTCAGTTGGAGGTAAACAGAAATATAACCAATATCGCGATCAACAGAGGGAGATGGATGAAAAAACACAGAAAAGAAAACTTATCCTTTAGGATA